GTTCTTTGGGTCCTTCCAACGTAAGGGGAACTCTGCTAGATCAAACCAAAAGACCATCTCATCGGGCAATTCTGTTCACTCAGTCCCCAAGCAGGATGCACACATAATTGCCCTTGTCTACTCATAACCCCCATTACCTGGTAATTAGAGGCATATTGCCTCTGATATTGGAAGTAGCATATAGACATTGCCACTAGAAGCAACTGATAGCCTTATCCTCCATGCATTTGCCTAATCCTCTTTCAAAGCTATCTAAGTTGGTGACTCAGAGTTGGAAGGGCTACTTTGTACTAGATCTCCCACTAGATCTTTGTTTGTTCTAGATCTTCTTCATTGCAGAAGCCTGCTGGCAGTGGCATCACTGCCACTTACTGGTAGGAATGAGATGGTGAGGTTGGGGTTGTGAGGACATACCAGGAGGAGCCCTGAATTGCTTCTTCTGGTTTGTCCACAAGCCATGACCTTGTACCTTTTCACCCCTGCCATTACATAGCAGCATTGCTCTGCCTCTGCCCCACCAGGCAAGCCACTCTTGGGTTCTGGTATTCTGAGAGAGGGAGAGAAATCTCTCTCTCTCTCTCTCTCTCTCTCTCTCTCTCTCTCTCTGCTTTTTCTACACCGTGCTTAATTTTATACATCTCTATTGCGTGTCCTGCTCCCCGACCTTTTTCCTAAATTAAGCAACCCCCAATGTTGTAGGAATTTGCTCACAGAAGAATAGTTATGCTAAGGCGAAGTAACATATTTATTTAATCAAAGCATTTACACACCACTCTTACAAATACTAAAATGCAGATTAATTAAAGCAACGCATTTAGTAACAGCAAATAACAAATACAGTAAAAGCATCAGCAATTAAATAGAATATATATTTGCTTTAATATGGACTATAACTCGCCCATTGTTTGGAAGCTAGCAAAAGAAAGTAGTTACAGAATGCATCAGACCTGTCCCTTGCAAGTTCAAATGTGACTTTTTTGTTTTTAAATATACTGTTTAAGAGAACCAGAGAAAGACATTGTTAGTTTTTCTGACATGTTCGTCTATGTGAGCATCATAAGGTAAACAGACATTGCCATCAAGAAGATACTGTAGAACATAGTTCTGTTACTGGGAATGTAAGGGAGAAGGCACCCTTAGATACATACATAGGGCTCAGCTTCTATCCACTTGTAAGAGACTGTTCCCTTTTTGGACATAGGCTTTTGACAAAATCAGTTGTCAGCCATGTTAGCAATGAAGAGAAATTCTTGTCACATTGCAAGGTAAGTTAGAAAATGTGTTAATGTGCCATTTTTGGTGATCTGCAGAGAACCTCATGAGTGAACACTGCTAACTAGGATGTTTTTGCTTCTAAGCAGTGAGTTTGTAGAATTGGGTCATCAGTTTAATATTTCCCATAATTCCCTGTTGGGCATATCCTAATTTCCCCTAATTCCTTGTTGTGTTTTGAATGTGGGCAGCCCCATTTCCCCAAGACACCAGAACATATCAGAGGAGTCCATATGTCCCAGGCATTTTCCCTCAGGTAAAAAGGTAAAGGTAAAGGATCCCTGGAGGGTTAACTCCAGCTGAATTCAACTATGGGGTGCAGCACTCATCTCCGCTTTTCAGGCTGAGGGAGCTGGCGTTTGTCCACAGAAAGCTTTTCCAGGTCATGTGGCCAGCATGACTAAACCGCTTCTGGTGCCCAGAACACACTGATGAGTGCCAGAGCACACAAACACAGCATTTACATTCCCACCACAGTAGTACCTCTCCATCTGCTTGTGCTGGTATGCTTTCAAACTGCTACGTGGGCAAGAGCTTGGACAAAGCAATGGGAGCTCACCCCATCGTGCGGATTCGAACTGCCAACCTTATGATTGGCAAGCTCAAGAGGCTTGATGGTTTAAACCACAGCGCAACCAGCTCCCCTGTTTTCTCTCATTAGGTGCCCTTTAAGGCAAGTATCACCTTTTCCAGCTTGTCCAAGCATAGCTATTTAAAATGGACAGGTTCCTGAGACTCCCTGGTTGCAGGCAATTTTGTTGCTGCAATGTCACCAGGGAGGAGATGAGGATGCTTTCTTCCCAACACACCAACACTTCTTGGAGGATTACATTGGCCTTGGACTTCTGTTTCAGGAGGAGCTCTAGCCTAGCCAGTGTTGTTTCAATGATGTTTTGAGTTCCCCCTTCTTCCTTTTGTGTGTGTGTGTGGGCTTAAATGCATTATATTGTATTTCCACTGATACTGGGGTGATCGCTCAGGGCTGAAATGATAAGGAAGGCACTTTCTAAGGGCATTACCATTGGAGAGTTTAATAAATGTTAAATGAATGGGTGCACCTGACACAGTAAGATCTCTGTGCTAATAACTGCTAGACAGAGGAATAGCAGATCAGAGTCTAGCAGGAATTTGTCTTCTGAACTAATCCAAAGCAAAACCCCCACACTGACTGTCATTTACACACACACACCCCTTCAAAATCACTGCTGGAGGACCTGCATAGGGAAAGCTGTCTGGACAGCACTGTACTTGTAAATTCTCAGTGCTCTGTGATTTGTTTTGGGAAGGAGGGTTATGCCCTTCATAGCAAACTTAAAAGCTGCAACTGACTTGATGCATCTGTCATCTGTTGAGAGACATATAAGCATGTGAAATGTTTTTAAATTATTTTATTTATTAAATTTGTATACTGCCCTTCAATTGTAGATCTGAGGGTGGTTCGCAGCATGAAAATACAGGATAAAAGCACAAAAGGCATAATAAAGACAAGGCAGTAATGCACACAAACCAATAACCCCTCCCTTCCTTTTTGCTGCTTGCTCTCCTCTTTCCCTTCCACTGTCTATGTTCTGCTAAGTCCTAGTCGAGGTGGTGTTGGGGTTCAATGCCACTGCAAAAAACAAGAGACTGGATCAGATTGCGGGGGGCATTCATAGGTCCTTTTGCCATGCCAAATCAGGAGATTACCTTTCTTGGAAAGTAAGAAGCTAGCAATATTAAATGATTTGTATGTTAGGGATCTACCACAAGACTTGTCAGATGAGTACAGACATGGCCAAAGTTAGAATGAAATCAATCTTACACTCAGTGTATGTAGGATATGAGCATGGTTCTATCTCTGCAACTTTGCTTCCCTGCCAACATCTGATAGCTATAAATAGAGGCAAGTCTGTGAAGTCTATTGAGATGCCTTTGACAAGAAGAACAAATTGGGAGGAGTGGTAGTGGTTCTAACAGAGAAAACACAGAATGAAGTATCTGGTGAATAGTCTCTTGGAATAATGAATTGTGTTGTGTATGAGTTGAGAAGCACTTTAGATGAAGGAGGCTTTTGCTCTCATTCTCTGAGCTCTTCTTGCTGCTTGACTTCTAGATTATTATTCGTGTTTTAGTATATCACAGAACCCTGCTACCTTTTGGTTGGGGGGGGTGGAATTCACACCTGTTCTGTCATGGCCATGCCTCCATTGCAGGGAGCCCTATATACTTAGGTGTTGATGGCTAAATTACTATCTGGACAAGTCCTTAGATCCTTCTTAAACTGCAGCCTGTGAGCTTAACAATGTCTTTTCTAAGAGGTATGTTAAACATAAAAAGCTAGCGATTAGACAGACTTGGAAACATTAATTTTTCTTTGTTTAAGCCAGTGGTAAGTTTGCATTTTTCAATGGAATCATAGCTGCCTTTTTCTACCCTCTAGATGATTTCTGTGGGCTCTTGCTTATTAAAACAAGCAGAATAGCTTCACATAACCTGCAAACCATTTGATCTGCTGCAGATAAGCAGATTGGCTTTATAGTTCTTGTCTGCAGTGTGGAAACCTCCTGATTTTAATGTCAGTAAACACAGTTTTATGTTGGAAGCTGTTGCTGAGGGCTCAAGCTACAGAACTTCTGACTTCAGTGCCAGCCTGGTTCAAATGGCACATGTGGGAAAAGGCTAGAGGCTATTTATATAATGTAGAGAGCTGCTGGTGTTATACCACCCGATAGCAGCTAGATGGAGAACTGTAATAGCTCTTCTTAGTGACCAAAAATTATATCCAAACAGCTAATATGCGCTCCATGCGCTTGATATATTTGGTCTCTTTGAAGATGGGGTATGTATATTTGTACTACACTTGTACAAAGTCCCAGCCCAACCAATTTTCTCCATGAAATGAACATTGCAATTCTGTGCATCAGCCAAGTCACTGCTTTGGAAAGCTGAGTCTTTGGAAAGCAGAAGGTGGAAAAAAAACTCTGATCCTGCAAAGTGGTAGCTGCCAGAACAGTCCCAGTAAGTTTCAAGGCAGGAGGTGTCTTTCAGAGACATTTCCACCTTGTATCTGTTTTGGTAGGAAGTTGGTTTAATACTTTTAGATGAAACCTACAGAGTGTACCCCAAAGCTCAAGTATGTAATTAAAAACAGAGAGGTGCTACTTTTCTTTCTTTCAAGGAAATGTCTTGTTCAAGTCATGTCAAAGCATCTCTACCACACATGTATCTTTTTGAAAGCTGTATCAGTACCCAAGAGGTTTGCTCCTTCAGAGTAAGGGTGAAATGTAGTATCGCAGCAAGCCATATAGAGAAGGCACCACCTGTCATCAGGCCTTACAATAAGTGTGTTCTGATTAGGATAAGCAAAGATGCAGATATGGTTTTATTCCCCAATGAGAAGAGTGGCATGATTCTATCCTGGAAAGGCTGGAGCTAGGCTGTGGTTGTTGGTTTGAGGTGTTTTTCCCCAGAGAGCTACAGGAACTTTGGAAAGGGGCTTGTTTGCTGTTTGGTGTGTGCATTCATCTCACTTTGATACACAGGTGCTGCAAGGTTTTGTTCTGCTTCAAAAACCTTGCACAATCTATTTGACCTGAGAGTGGGGCAAAATAAATCTCAACTACTTTTAACTCGCTTAAAAGCTATCATCTGTCTCAACCCTCACCCCTGTTTGTCAGAGGTAGCTCTGTACCAGATGTGCTAAGTTGTACCAAACATGTTTCTTTCTCTTTCCTTTTCATCCTGACCAGGTTGTACAAGGTTCCATTTGATATGCCAGACTGTATTGAAGGATCTGCTGCTAAAAGGACGCTGCATCTCTTGGGAGACTTTTCAGCACCTGCTGAGTTCTTTGTGACCTTGGGTGTTTTTTCTTTCCTGTATACCATGGCAGCTCTGGCAGTGTATCTACGGTTTCACTCACTCTACAAAGAAAATAAGAAGCTTCCTTTTGCGGTAAGATTTCACTTTGGTCCTCTGCTCTTTGATGCAGGACCTAAGCCCCAGAGAACCAGTGTCTAAAACGCTCCTTGGATAAGAGACACTTCTCTCTATCTAAATAGGAAGTGCTTCCCTAAACTCCCTAATTCAGTTTATCCTTGGGAGAATCCAGAGGAGCAGCTCACACAACCATATTATGCATTGAGTGGATCTGGATGGTGCCTGATATACAGTGGTACCTCGGGTTAAGTACTTAATTCATTCCAGAGGTCCGTTCTTAACCTGAAACTGTTCTTAACCTGAAGCACCACTTTAGCTAATGGGGCCTCCTGCTGCTGCTGCCGCACCACCAGAGCACAATTTCTGTTCTCATCCTGAAGCAAAGTTCTTAACCCGAGGTACTATTTCTGGGTTAGCGGAGTCTGTAACCTGAAGCATATGTAACCTGAAGCGTATGTAACCCGAGGTACCACTGTACAAGTATTTTCCGGCAGTGCTGTAACATGACAAGCTGCGCCTTCTGGAATTCCTGCTTCTACCCAACTATTTAATGTACAGGAACCTTTACCTTGGTTACCGCTCATTTTAGGATGGAATCTTTGGCCTTCTCTAGTTGGAACAGCATTCCCCCCCCCCAAGTGGCACAAAGACTAGTTAAAAACTATCTATCTAATGCTGTCATTAAACTCCTTCCCCTTGGGGTTGTGTGGAGCCACTTGAATTGTGATGACCCCATATCACTTGCTGATCCTTTCAGAGTGTCTTCGGTAGCTGTGGAAAAATTGGATGTGGCTATTTTGGCACATGTAGACCCACCATGTGAAGGGCCTGAGAGATGGAATGGGGCAATTGCCCAGCATCGAGGGCCCTCAATGCTTGTGTCTTTTGGGTGGAATAGGGAGGGCAGTCTGTTCTATGAGATAGAGCTATTGTGGTCTTCTCTGTTTTTTCCTCCCCCTAGGACTTCTGTGTCACCGTCTCATTTACCTTTTTCTGGCTAGTGGCATTTTCAGCTTGGGGCAAAGGTCTGTCAGATGTGAAAGGAGCTACGCGGCCTTCCAGTCTCATTGCTGCCATGTCAGTGTGTCAACTCAAAACTGCTGTATGCAATGCTGGGGCCACACCTTCTATGGGCCTGGCCAACATCTCTGTGGTAAGAGTTGTTTGGGGAGCAATATTGTGGGGGGGGGGGCAGGAATGGCAGAGCTTCAACTGCATTGGAACCTATAGAGTGTAGCTCCATTGATTTTAATAGAGCTCAGTTAGTTTCATACACATTCATAACTTCATACATTCATACCCTTTGAGTAACTTAAAGCTACAGGTAGTGATGTACCATATTTTTCGCTCTATAGGACACACTTTTCCCCCTCCAAAAATTAAGGGGAAATGTGTGTGCGTCCTATGGAGCGAATGCAGGTTCCTTGGCTTCAGCGATAGCAACGCGAAGCCGCCAATGCGCAGAGGGAGTGCTCCCTCCGCACTCCGGAGGCTTCACGTTGCTTTCGCTGAAGCCTGGAGAGCGAGAGGGGTCGGTGCACACCGACCCCTCTCGCTCTCCAGGCTTCAGGGATAGCTGCCTGAAGCCTCCGGAATGCAGCGGGAGGGCCCACTGCGCTCCGGAGGCTTCGGGTTCCTTTTGCTGAAGCCGGGAGAGCAAGACTCTCCTGGCTTCAGCAGAGGGAGGGGGGAGGAGCGCCATCCAGGTTCCTCGCGCCTTGCCCTGGGCGATGTCCCCGTGCCTCTTTCCTCCGCGGCGGCTGTGGTGGCGGCAGCAGCATGGGCTCCAGGGGGGAAATGTGTGGCCGTAGTGGCGACGGCAGCGACGGGGTGGAGCAAGATGTATAATGACATAACAAACAGCTAATAACTAATGGATTTTAACCTTTTTTAAAAAAAAAAATGCAGTTGGTATTTTTATTTCCCAAGTACATCTTTCAGAAGTCTTGCCCTTCTTGATGTGTACACCAATGAAGAACAGCCTGTCTGCATGTACTGAATATAAAGCTCCTGATTCTTTTTTAATTATGGGCATTTCACAGTTTTCTACAACACTGGCAACAGTCTTGTCAAATCTGTACTTAAATAAGTACTAGTACAGCGGTTGCTGGTTTAAATTGCATATGTGATGGAGTACAGCAGTGCCTAAAATATATGCAACTTAGTGATGACCTAACTACAGATTTCAGCCCCTGAAGAGCAGACAAACAGACAGGGCATCTGTTCAAGGCCATTTTTTAATGGATTAATTGATTCTAAAATAACTATTGACCTCATTTGGTCCTTGCCTTCACAAATGTGGATGAGAATCACCAGTCACCACTGTTCACAAACACTTACTGAAAACTAGTGAAAATTTGACTTTTTACTCTTTGTTGATCAAAGTGATGAAGTAGACAAAAGAAAATTAAAGGGCATTAAGGAAGAACACGTGAGCATACTAAGGTTTTGCATGGGCCTTAAGATTTGCTTTGTATCTGCTTATAAAAACAATTAGGATCTGTTTTTGACTCTCTCTATCGACTTCAAACTGTGATTCGGGTTTTATGCTGCTCTGTATAAAATGGAGCTCCCATTCACTCTTATGGGAAATCTAAAAATGGCTATAAAGGGAAAGTAAAAGGGTTTCACTTTCCTGCATAAGCCATACTAGGGCAATGCTTTTATAAGGCTAAAACACCAAAATCTAGTTATCTTTTGGGGGTGGGAGACGATTTTGTCTCTTGTTCTTTCATACCTTAAAATAATGAAAAGGTGGCCAAATGGTGTCTATTCTTGCTTGTACATCGATGAAAATATTAGCATCTTCACACTGGCCAGCTTAGCTTTCCCAGTGCTTGTTTGTGTTGGGATGCTATGTCCTCCAATAGGAGGTAGAAGGTGAGGCTGTCCTTAATACTACCTGCAGAGTGCTGAGGAGCTCCAGATTACTTCCCCCCCCCCCCACAAACAGAGCAGCAGACTGTGTGTGTGTGTGTGTGTGTGTGTGTGTGTGTGTGTAAGAGAGAGAGAGAGAAATGGAGTCTAACTTACTTTTAAAAAATTCATTGTTCTGCTTTAACAACAACAAAACCACCATATACATCCACAGCTCTTCAGTGCTCCAAGGTCAGCGTTTAGACAAACTTGCTTCTTGCAAAGCCCAAGGACCTGGAGTAGAGAAACATAGAGAAACATAGGCATATAGGGCACTGAAAAACAGAGCAACATGAGGTTTTGTAACACACTGATCCAGCTTAGGGCATTTTATTGCTATCGCAGTTTGATTCTGAAAGGGTTAAAAGAGCTCCATATCAACCCAGTTTGCCTCATTATTTGGCTCCAGCCCAGAGTGGTTGCACTCCTCTACAACATACAGTCTGCTCAGATAGCTCGGCCACAAGTGCTTCTACATTAACTCTGCACTTCTCTCTTTCTTTCTCAGCTGTTTGGTTTTGTCAACTTTATACTGTGGGCTGGAAACTGCTGGTTTGTTTTTAAAGAGACCCCTTGGCATGCTCAGACCACCAACAAGGAAAGCTCTGCTGAACAAGGAGCTGTTGATAAGCAATAAGGAACCTCTCCTCCTTCACTCCTGAAGCCTCCTCTTCCCCCACCAGGAACAGTGCCTTGTCTCACGTACATGCTCATCCCATTTCACAGCAGGGCAGGAAATACGCCTTCTCTGCCAATTGTTGCTGCTGTCCAATAGTCATACTGGCATCTCTCTCTCCTGACTATTCTGGAATGCCTTCCTCTGGCTGAAATCAGGGGTCCTCTTGTGGTCCTAGATACAAAGACTGTACATGGTTACAAACAAACAAAAACCTCTTCTGCCTTCAGATTATTTTTTTTTACAAACATATACTATTGTGCATTGTAACATTGGCTACGACCAGTCCTAGGGTGTGTGGCATTGTTCCTTCCCATCTGCTTCTGACCACTTTATAATGAGAAATGCAGGTAGATTTGGATAACAGCATAGAGATAACCAAGGCATTAGTGCTACAGAACCTGGGACATCTAAGCACCTTTGAGAGTAAGTACACCTTCGACTCTGCAGCCGTAATAGAAGCAGAAGCGGCAATATGCCACCTGGCTTAGCAGCAAAATAAAGGAGAAATACAAAGGGAATATTTTTACTTCCATACAGTTGAAGGAAGGAGTGTGTTGCGTTTCTCTCTGTTGCATAATGGGGTATGAATGTGCTAAATATCTCTCTGCTTCTCTTAAATTCAGTTGGATGAAAGCTGGAGCTGCTGTTTGCCCACAGATGGGTTGTTCACTCTTGAGCAGCAAAGTTTTGGTGCCTTTATTTTTTTCCTCTCAGGTCACACACAGATGTATACTATGTCCATATTGAGCCACAAGTGCTGACTCCCACCAGCATGAGCTGATCGGCAGCTTTTGGTCTCCACTTCCCTGTGTTTTTTTGTGTATAGTGGAGGCAAACAGAGGATGTAAACCCTGGACACCTGTTTCAGTGTCTTCTGAGGTCCTGTTCTATTTTTAAAATACAATTTTTTAAAATATGAAAACCTAGAGGAATTTTTTCTCAGCTTCTAGGATAGTTTGATATAAAACTTGGGCCCAAGAGGCTTGGGGCATTTGCTTCTGGTTGACAAACATGCAGGGGAAGGGTGGGATTCTGTACAACTTGTTGTTTTGTTGAGAATATTTGTGGTTAATGACCTTAGTTCTGGCCTCTGAACACTCTGGTAACAGGAACAGATGAGCTGTCAAGTTTGTGGTGTGGATTGTTTGTCAGTGAATTCATGTATGCCACTATCTCGGGCCAACGCCCGTTTAACTCCAGTGTGGCAGTAGGCAGCTGCTTGTAGATTTCTGATGGAGGCTTGAGGCATCCCAGGCCTCCAAGTGAAGATGAGAATCTTTCAGGAAGGTTCCAGTATCCCTGGATGTCCCTCTAACAAATGATGGGACCACCAGTTTAGGACAGTATTGAATCTGACATTTTTAAATCACAGAAACTTTTTGTTATTGCGTATATGAAGCGGATACTTTCAGGTGAAGAGAGCTGTCATATTTTCTTCCCTTTTTTGATCATGCCGTTGACATAAACAAGGAACTGGAGCCTGGCCTGCCATTTACTCCAAACTCTACTAGTTGCCTATTTTCTAAAACATATATGGGTAAATAGAAATGAAGCACCCCAAATCTTTAAATCCCTGTGCTTCCATGTGTCTAATATTGGATGGGGAAAACTAGTTTTTTGGGAGGTTGGGGTGTAGCAGGTTGCAGGGTGAGTTCTTCTATGCTGATTAAATCTTTCATATCAGACCTTGTTAGGTCTTTGACTTTCTCTTATTTCCTTATTCTCTTTCTCCTCCTTGTGCTGAGAGAGAGGAATTCTCTCCTGCAGAAGGAAAAATATTAATGGTGCTTCATGAGGTGTGGGACCTCTACGCTAAGAAGACCCTCTTTGTACATTTTGTAATTTTCTTCTTCCCTAGTTTAATTATTGCCATTGCCCCAGCATTACAGAACAGCAGCCTTTATGGAATCCTCTGGCATGTCTGCAGTCAAGCGACAAAGACTGAAGCATACAATCATCCCTTGTGTTGCAGTGTCCAGATTTTCTTGCAACATAAGGGCTGGTACAATACAAAAAGAAAGCTGACTAGCTAGAAGGAGGGCGGTTTTTCTCCAGTTTTCAGTCCAACTGTCTTTTAGGAGGACTTTCCCCAGTGATTCTTTTTTAAAAACCACTCACCGAACATCACCATTCACACCATGTTTCTGGCCACAAGCTACTACTCCATAATTGTAGGCTTAGGAATCAGCTTCTGGCATGGTAGTGTTTTCCATAACTGACCATTACAGTCACTGTAGCCCTTGAGTGTACAAACATATCAACCCTCCATATCTCCCCAAGTTGGGATACGTGTATCTTGTATCACGTTTGTGTCTTATAGGGATATTTTCTAATTTCTTAAAGATTTGTCCAAGGTCCTCAGCTAGTATAAATTGACAGTGCGTGGTGCATACCAGCTGAAAACCTGACCTTTGTGTTTAAGCCGTGGGCAAAGCCTAAAGAATGCTGCTTCAGACATGGGAAACATTCTATGTAGACGGATACTAGAAGCAGGAATAAAGGCCTCAGTAATAGTTCCAGGAAAAGAAATGGTAATTGTGTACCATTGATCATGCAAATCACTTTCCACACGGCCCAAGTTCCTGTGAGTTTGTTTCTCTCTGTATTTATCTATAAATCTATGTATAAGAGAGATAATATATAGGGTAGCCTTGTAGCACTACATTTGGCACAGCACAGGAGAGGGCTGTTGGGAGCAGCTGAACAGACAGCAGGTGCAGGATATTTCACACCCTTGTGGGTTTTCTACTTTTTTTGGATACACCCGATGCATTGAAACCACAGTTATCCTGTATGACTAACTCTCTCAGACTCCTAGCTGCGTATTAGATGTGACACATCCCTCCTCTGTGATGGAGCCCCCACAAAACAGACTTCAAGCAGATGACTGGGGACCAGCAGAACTTGTGATTGGAAGAAGGGGAAGGGTCAGTCTCGGCTTGTACTAGCTTTGCATTTTGTGGCCTATGATTCCCCCACACATTTGTTTTGAGTAGGGGTGAGAAAAGAGCAGGTGTGGAATCTGTACAAGAGCTCTGTGTGAGAAGTGTGGTTAGGGATGCTCAATGAAGGGAATGCCAAAAATATACTCTGTCCTGTCCTGAAAATGCCACCATGTGGAGTAGAGACCAGCAGCCCTGGGCATGGTCTCCCAGTTCTCTCAATCATTTCCTCTTCTAGTGGCAGTATGTTGCATGTTTTTCTCCTTTCCTGACGATTGTTAGTATGGTTCTAATAAAGTGTCGAGAGAGTTTGCTCTGAGGGAGAGCTGACTTTGGGCTGGTTTTCTTTGTCCTTGCCTTCTGTTTCTACTTTGATCTCTTTTGCAGCCTGGTTCATAAAATACTGTTATCTCGTTGATTATTTATTGCTATGCTGGCTATCAGCTGCATGAAAGGTTTTTGGGAGTCCTCATTTCTTCTGCACCAACCGCAGGTGGCACTGTATACATTACACTAACATATGACATGGTCTGAAGGTGTGGGTCTGGGCATTGCCTGGAAGGCGCCATGCATTTACTGCCTTGGGTTCCATGACAGAAGAAAGGTTGTGATATTAATGTAAGAGAACAAATGCACATCCCGACATTTCATATCTCTTTGACGGATGATTTCTGCCTTTCTAAGACTCTGTGCAGACAATAGGTAATAAAGACCCGCAAGTGATATTGTAGGGATGCAATTGCTTGTTATATATACCGGTATTTGGTTGAATCCAGCTAAGTCATTATGTGTGTGGAACAGAACTCCCTCTCCCTCATCTTCCACCACATGCCTGCTACACCATCCCCTAATCTACTCCAGAGGGTTTGCAGCCTTTCTCAACCTGTGGGTCCCCAGATGTTGTTGAACTACAACTCCCATCACCCCTAGCTAGCAAGGCCAGAGCTCAGGGATGATGGGAGTTGTAGTCCAACAACATCTGGGGACCCACAGGTTGAGAACCACTGGTTTAGAGCATGGGTGGGCAAACTAAGGCCCGGGGGCCAGATGCGGCCCAATCGCCTTCTAAATCCAGCCCACGGACGGTCTAGGAATCAGCGTGTTTTTGCATGAGTAGAATGTGTGCTTCTTTTTAAAATGAATCTCTGGGTTATTTGTGGGGCATAGGAATTCATTCTTTTTCTTTTTTCTTCAAAATATAGTCCGGCCTTCCACAAGGTCTGAGGGACAGTAGACCGGCCCTCTGCTGAAAAAGTTTGCTGACCCCTGGTTTAGAGAGCCCACCAAGCAAATCTGTGGAAGGAGAGAGGAGGTTCTATGGCACTTACAGAAGTTCACGCACATCACAATTTATTTGGATGCCACCCATTAATCTGTGTCCCATCATAGTCCCTGCTCAAACTAGTTTAGTAGGTTGCTGAGTAGTAGTGCGCTTACTCCAAGCTGGCTTACAGAGAGGTCAGCAACCTGCAAAAATGTTAGTATTAGATAGATGCAGTAGATAGATGTGTGACTAACAGGGATGCTTAGTGAGTAGAATCCATGATAAATAACATATCTTTTCTTTTTCCATGTCCAGAGCATTTGGGAAATTTAAAGATTGAAGGGTTTGTTTTTGAATGGGAGTTGAGTATCCTCATTGGGAAGAAGAAAAAATACAGATTTTTCTTAGATGTGAAACTGACTACACTAGAAGTTGATTGCAGCAGTCTACTTTAGCCACTTCAGGTGTCTTTTTGACTTGCAGAGAGGCATTTCCCTTGTACCCTTTAGATTTGTATGGTTGTTATGTGGATAGTGTCGTTATAAAGTGTAGTCACTAGGTGGCACTGGGCTTAGTTGCTTCTGTGTGGAGTAAAGAGTGTCCTAGGAATGTTCTTGTTCCAAGGGGGACAGTACAGTCATTGTCTAATTCCCTGACTGGTGCATCCTGCAGCTCTTCCATGAGTTTTCAATGCTGGACTAGGGCTTAGTACTGCAGTAGTGGTAAAGAAGAATAAGTCCTGTTCTTCTAGATAAATAACTGTCTGTACTCAGCTGAAAGCACAATTTCTTTTTCCACTAATAACTCAGTTGGAATGATTTTAGTAGTCAGATCCAGAGATTTTCAAAAGCCACCAGAACTTCATCTGAGAGGTGAATAAACAAGAGATAGCCATTTACAGGTTTCTGTCCTACTCTTCCTCGGCACCGGACCTATACATGGAGGAAAGGCTATCCTTTCTTTTCCTTACAATAACTCTGTGGCATAGAGTGGTGGGAGAGAAGGAAAGACAAGGCAAGGGCCATCAAGCATCTAGATCAAGGGAAGTAATAGTGCCACTGTATTCTGCTCTGGTCAGACCTCACCTGGAGTACTGTGTCCAGTTCTGGGCACCACAGTTCAAGAAGGACACTGACAAACTGGAACGTGTCCAGAGGAGGGCAACCAAAATGGTCAAAGGCCTGGAAACGATGCCTTATGAGGAATGGCTAAGGGAGCTGGGCATGTTTAGCCTGGAGAAGAGGAGGTTAAGGGGTGATATGATAGCCATGTTCAAATATATAAAAGGATGTCATACAGAGGAGGGAGAAAGGTTGTTTTCTGCTGCTCCAGAGAAGCGGACACGGAGCAATGGATCCAAACTACAAGAAAGAAGATTCCACCTAAACATTAGGAAGAACTTCCTGACAGTAAGAGCTGTTCGACAGTGGAATTTGCTGCCAAGGAGTGTGGTGGAGTCTCCTTCTTTGGAGGTCTTTAAGCAGAGGCTTGACAACCATATGTCAGGAGTGCTCTGATGGTGTTTCCTGCTTGGCAGGGGGTTGGACTCGATGGCCCTTGTGATCTATTCCAACTCTATGATTCTATGATTCTAAGGCTGAGTGAGAAGATCTGAACCCACGTCTTTACATTCTGCACTGATTTTTCCACACACCCAAAATCAAACTGAGAAAATGCCTACAAATACTGATGTGGATACATATTGTTGCTTTGTTAAAATAGGTTTAAATCTGTTTTATTTCTTTCCCTCTCTTGCTGAATATAGAATTAGGAAAGAGTAGAAACCGATTCAGAGCAACTGAAAAGTAACAAGAAAGTTTGTAAAAATAAGTGAAATCCTCAACCAATTTTACCTCTGGTTTCTGGCTCACCAGCAGATCCATAACTACTCTTAAGTTGATCGGTATTATGAGGACTAGAAACTTGCTTTTTCTTTTTCTTTTTAGGTAAGAAATTTTAAGGATTCTGAAGGATTTTACAGATGCTATTGTAGATGCCAAATTCCTTTACTTGCGGCATAAATAGGCATCATGTATGTTATCAGCTTCCCTGCAAAATGGTTCAGATAATGCTGTGTTCTACTGCATCCTCTGTCTCCTGTTGCTTTCCAGAGAAATTTAGAGATCTTCCCTACCTCGGCTAATTTTGCTCCTGTGATGCCAAGAGCGTCAAGGGGAAACAGTGACTGAATAATGAGAACAAAAAGAGTCTCACTGGCACATTGACAAGAAATGCGTTCTGATATTGATTCTATTGGGTCAGCTTCATTTCCATGTGGGAACTTAGGTTAGATTATGATCATGTCACAGTCCATTCAGCTGCATTCACAGCTGAGCTGGATCTTCAGCCCAGGTTCCCCTGCTCAAATTCCCACAAATTTACAGACTGTTCTGGTTTGGAGCAGCATTGCTGTTTGAAAGAAGGGGGCATGTTATTTGTACAGTATACACAAACGATTGCAACGATAATGCATACACATCTAGCCTGATCGTTTTAAATTTAATATCCATATATAAACATACAATTGCAACTGGCAATTGCCTATCAAGTCTGTAAAAAAAAATATCTAAAGTTAAACAATAGCTGCAGCAATAGTTTAGAAATCAAACAATCCCAAGTTCAGTCACTAACAGCCTGGTCCCATTAGAAATGCCTAATATATCTCAGCTCCTATTAGCTGCTATTGTACAGTATACAAGTCTTCATCATCTTCAATGTACCGTCAAGAAGGATCACCCATGATTCAGATATACAAATTTAATATATAAATAAGCAGTGCTTTTTTCTAAAAAAAAATATGTTTAGGGGTACTGTCATTTTGACTCAAGAAAAGCACCATTTTATAGTTCAAATCGGGGGGGGGGGGACGACAGTAAATGGACAAAAGTACACAGATTCACACAATGTTTAGGGGTATGCGTACCCCCAGAAAAAAGCACTGTAAATAAGTAAATAGGGTGTTGCTGCTCTCGTGAGGTTTTAGAATAATGGAAACTTTAGACTAAAGGAAAAGATTTTCTGAACAAAATGAGAGAGACTTTTTATATTCTGGATTTTTTAATTGACATGATAGCTTTGTCCAATTTCAATTGTTTGTATGTGGGCATTCTATTACAGTACTGATTCGATTGAATGTGTTTATTATCAGGTGAATCTTCTATGAGTACCATGATGTGCCTTGGAGTTGTATCTTTAAGGGTTTGTCCCATTACTTTGACCCCATGTATTAACAGTTAACCTGGAAAATATTGCTCACCTTGTAGCACTTGTTATAAACAACTGAGAGCTTGAGCTTTTGGAGTTTTTTTGTTTTAATATAAAATTACGTAGTTTTAAAGCCTGTGAAGATGATCTTGATGATCGTATTCCTGTGTACATACCTGCCACACCCAGAAGCAAGAAGGCAAATAAAAAAAAAAGAACTACAGGTTTTTCAAATGTTGTGAACTTAAATATATCTGATTTAATATTTAGAGAATGAATATTAGGCTTTGTTTATACAGCTGCCAGCGACAAAGGAACAAGATGCCTTCCCTCCTGTACGTTCATATGTCCTTTGAAAGTATTAAAGATAAAGGTACCCCAGCCCGTATGGGCCAGTCTTGCCAGACTCTAGGGTTGTGCGCTCATCTCACCCCTTAGGCCGGGAGCCAGCGCTGTCCGGAGACACTTCCGGGTCACGTGGCCAGCGTGACAAGCTGCATCTGGCAAGCCAGCGCAGCACACAGAACGCCGTTTACCTTCCCGCTGGTAAGCAGTCCCTATTTATCTGCTTGCACCCGGAGGTGCTTTCGAACTGCTAGGTTGGCAGGCACTGGGACCGAACGACGGGAGTGCACCCCACCGCGGGGATTCGAACCGCCGACCATGTGGTCGGCAAGTCCTAGGCGCTGAGGTTTTACCCACAGCGCCACCCGCATCCCTAGCTTTGAAAGTATTATCCGTGCCTTAAAAAGTGAAGATGTTGACATGTCCTTGCTGCTCCAAAATATTTAGACCGTTATTGGCACCATGAGCTTCTTCCAGAAGGGGCAAAATCAAAATCTGAGCAATGCATTA